TGGGTCCATCTGCAATTATGCTTGGGCAAGTGGTACAAGGCGTCCGATTAGCTGAGGCACATGGCAGAGCCCTGGGTCCACAAACTTCCCCGGCGACCTCTATGCTTCCCACAACAACACCTGAAGTGAGCTAGCATTATTGGTCTTTTATTTCTAATCGTTAATTTGTTTCACCTATTCAACATATTTCCGCCCATTATATACTATTAGAACAATTAACTTGTTTAACAATATGCTAATAACGTGTAGACTAAACGTCCTATTTGTCTTATTCCGTTGAGTTTAGGCCACAGAAGATTGTCATTTAGATAGATATTTTCCAGAGGCATGTTTATCCTATGTTCTAACGTACCTTTTCTAGTCAGTGAAGAATGTGCGTTTACTACTTCATGGTATGTAGTTGAATATAATTCGACAATGTCAGAAATCGGAGAGATAATTTTTTTCCAATCTAATTAAAGAATATTCTTGTCAATGGGATTTTTATCAGTCTCATGGCCGTGAAACCCTAACTACTTGTACGCAACTAATTGATCAGTAGATTTGAAGACCAAGATGGTGTGACGCTCCGATCAGGTTGCGAAAACAAGGTTGAATCAACATTAATTCATCCATCAATTAAAAATTCATATTGCGTCTTGAGCAACGATAGGATTTTTAAATTATAATTTTCTGTATATATGAAGACCAAGATGTGGCCTCTGTAATGGTCACAGTCTTCTATAATTTTCTGTTTGGAATTTCCACATTGTAATTAGATTATCCTGAAATCTATTTTGTGCATTTTCTACCAACTCTTATCATATGATAATGATATCTCCTTTGTGCACTCTTTCTTGTCTGACTAGTGCGAAAAATTGAATAATTAGAAATGGGACTATCCTCGTAGCTAAGCCACTCTTACCTGCATTTTATTATATCATTTTTTGTCCCATTTATGCAAAAACCAATTCTTATACGCTATCTTGTATGTAGAGACTTGACTCATTTGCCATGCTCAAGTTCTTCAAAATATTATTCTTATGCGATAGATTTTGTATTGAAAACCTCCATTCATTTAAGGATGGCTAACTACTTATTTGTTTAGAATGGTTTCTGATTTTAGCTATTCGAAATCGCAAAATACTTGTATGCTGAAAGTTCGAAACTAGAGCTCAATGAAATTAGCCTAGAATAAATGAGCTTAAAAATGATTATTAGCTTGATTTAGATAATAGGACAAGAATGAATTGTTACTTATGAGAAGAAGGTGTCTAAATATTGCTTGATTAATTTCTTGCTTTCATTGCTTGTACACTATTATCTGGCTGGATTCTAGGGGTAAATTCCTATTTGAAGCCACGCCGACTTTAATTAACACACATTACGGGATAGTTTCATTTGTTTGTTTGTTTGACACCCTTCATTTCCTTTATTCAAACTAGTTGAGTCTATCATATTGGATTCGGGCTCGCGCTTATCCAGAGTGACACTCACATAGACTAGCCAAGTTGTTTTATTTCCTTGTAAGGCATGTATAGGGATAATCCAAATTGTCTTAGCTCGATGCGTGACGTGAAGCTCTGGCAATGTCTCTAATCACTTTTCCATCTAAACCATATATGTTATTTCTAAGACTGCGTCATTCAAATGTAATCAAACTTTAATGAGCAAAAGAAATATGCTTATATATTAGCGTACCTTTCATTTCGCTTGAAAAGGCAGGTGGAAGTCATTCGTGATATGGCCTCACTGGACGCCGAAGGAAGCTTGCCTTGGATTTGTAACTGTTTGGTTGTGCCAAGTGAACTTTAGCTTACCACCCTGCGTCACTGATGCATCAAGCTTATGTTGGTCTATTTTTTTATGGCAGCAATGGCTATTTTTTAATTTCTGGTTTTCATATGATAGGTAATCGGGATGTCATGGCGAAAATCCGGATTACTAGGCTTTTTATAAGAATAATCCCAAATTTCTTTTTATATTAAGTTTCCCGTTCATTACAAACCCAGAGATTCTCGAAATTACACTTAGGCACAATAATTATGACATGTATTTGGTATTCGAGAAAGTACTAGGTCACCAATGAATTCGTATAATAATTTTTCTACGAAGGCTTTGCATGGAGCTTATGTTAAATTATGCGAAAAATAGTCATGACTATTTCCTTCTTTATCGAGAACCTTTTTTAAATCGATTAGCTAAATATCTTAAGCTATAAAATTCTGCATGGCCTCCTGTATGGCCTTAAAAGTAATTTACTTTTGTTATATGTTCAGCATTTCCATATTACCTATAATAGAGTTTTCTATTATTTGTTTTTTTTGTTATTTTTAATGCTTATTTGTTACCATTTATTACTTATTTGTTTCCCCTTCTTTTATCCTTCCATCTAATCATGTTATTTAGTTACAATTTCTTCCTGATATCCTTGCTTGGCGAGCTGCGCATACGCCTGATGATCGCCTCTTTACTGTCTTTAACGCCAAGGCCCAAGAGGCCTCTGTGCTTACCTGTGTCCAACTACACCGAAAAGCTGAGCGGATTGCCGGCCTCCTTCTAGACAAAACCAAGCTAACAGTCGGTCAGGTAGTGGCTCTGCTTTATCCACCTGGCAAGTTCATCCTTCTGAATTGATCGTATCTTAACTTATATGCTTATTTATATTTATAGGGTAACTTCGAACGACCTATTTTTATTGTGTCTATACCCTGGGCCCAGAACAATCTATATAGGCTTTTTTATCAGATGGCTTTTGCACTTCGCTCTTTACACACTAATTGTT